GGCAGGGGGGTTGGACATTCATGACCTTTGAGGTCCCTTCCAACCCTGGCCATTCTGTGATTCTGTGAAAGAGAACTTCAAGCTCTGCTACATTTTATCTGCTTTTCCAGCGCACAGAAAAATCTGCAATCATTGAAGGCTTCATGTTGTTAAAAAAAATTACCTCCTCCTCTTAAGGCTGCCAAGGGAAAACCAGAGAATGATCCTTCTTTAAATTTCTAATTAGGAGCAACCAACACTAAATTGTTTGTCATATTCAGTAAAGAGCAGAGATCTCATCTGAATATCTGAACTGTTCGTGTCTTGCTTTAACTGATCACCTTGGATTTATGAAGTTTGGCATTGGCTCAATGATGCAAATTTTATAACGTGTTTTTTACTCTTAAAATTGTACACAAAATATTAATCATTATGTCTTTTCCTCTGGAAAAAAATTGGATAGTGGGTGTTTCATCTAGAAGGATTTCTACAAAAAATTACCCCAGCTAAATACGATGGAATATGAAGGGGAAAAGTTATCTTAATAATACATCTGTAACTGCCTTTGTGGAGAGACAGAGATACAAATAACAAATAAAACTATGATATAAATGCAATAAGAGATATTATTAAAACAAATATACAGATAGAAATAAGAAAACTGATATAACTAACTCAGAACGTGCTCTGTTTAAATTTATTTCCATGGAGGATTTTGTTCAATTGTAATTTATCTTCCAGTCTGAAGATAATAAAAAATCCAATTCACTGTTGCTAGGGGCATTATTATTTTATCTTAATTTGAAGAAAGCTTATTCTAATGCATTAAAACTTTTCTTCAAGCAAGGGGAAGCAGAGACTAGCTCTGTAATTAGAATTGTTATCCTACAACAGGCTCATGACACTACTCTAAAAAAAAAAAAAGGAAAAGAAAAAATGAAATTTACTCTAAGACACTTACTCTTTCATTTCAGAGGAGTTTAAAATCTTGGCTTTACAGAAGAAAAGTAATATATTTTACAGTAATGTAGTACTCAATACTGGTCACAAGGCTGTAATTCGTTCAGTATTTCTCAGCTACCTGGTTAACATTAAAATCCAAAACAACCTCTGATTTTACTTAAAAACCAATCAGCCTTTTTGAATGTCATTTGCCTTTGATCAGATAAGAAGCTTGCAGAAGTAAAATTACTGTGATTACTCAAAAAGCTAATCTCTAGGGGGCTGATTTGCCACCAGCCCCTCCGCAGCCTGCAGCAACAGTTTCAGAAATTCATTTTTTCAGGTGGCTAATATTTCACTTGCTGTCAATTTCAATTCTTAGACCAATAAATCAAAACCACTTATTTCTTGAAATATTGAAAAGCAGGAAGCTAAAAGGGAATAGCTCATTTCTTGTGTAGAGAATGAATATTGGATTTGTGTAAGGTAGATAGACAGAGGACAAAACTGCTTGTGATCATGACAAACAAAGCTGGTCAGAAGGTGATATGCCAGGTCCTGAGAGTCCTTAACACACAGCACAAGCCACAGCATTTTGGACTACCCAGCTGCACAGTGAAATGTGGAGCAGCTCCTGCTGTGCATTCAGCAGCTTAATAACATGTATCTGCAGGAGCTACTTAGTGGAAAAGCAATCAGCTCCAGGGGCCTTCTGCTGTTTGCCATGTCCATGCCTTCCTCTAGGTTGTAGGAGCATCATTTCACTGGAATAAATTCATCTGCTTTCCAGAAAATCTCTTGGAATGGTCTTATCTCCAGCACTTTTTATATTACTCTGCTCTGATCCAGATAGTTGGAGAAATGCCACCCACACAACTGTGAGCCAACTGGATCAACTGTGCATGGGAAATACTATTATCCATGGCTACACACGTATGATTAGCATAATGATGTGTGTCAAGTGTGATATAATTCAGCACAGGTGAAAATGTATGCTCTGCATACTACACATATCCATTTATAGCGTCTTTAAACTTATCCAGCTCTCATCTTAAATACACAGCACTTCTGACAGGATCAGTGGTCACCACAGATACATATCACTAAAAGTGGAAGAAAAGTCTGGCTCCAAGTGAAAGAGAGGAGAGTCAGAGCTCTGCAAGAGCTGTGCCTGGGCAGACATCATTCTAGCTTGAGTGTCTACATAGAAGTGTCCTGTTTGTCATTTACAGCTTGTTACAGATGCAGGAAAGCTTACAAATGCTTCTGAATCCTGACTTGGTTTCATTCTTATTTCATCTGTTTGGATTCAGAATGTGTTATTCTAGAGCTAGAATCTTCTCTGGAAGCCTTATATTTTTCTTTTTCAGGATTGTGCTTACCTTAACATGTTCACCTGATAGTGGGTGCTCAGCTGATACTAAATGATCTGACATGTGCCAGGGCAAAAGCCATCTCTTATCATCTCAGTCTGGATTCCTGTATGTCAAACTAAGATCCAGAAAGTCCTGCAGCACGTTTGAGTACTGGAGGAAAGCATTATACATCTCCATACTATTCTTTGCTGTTTTCTACGTATTTTTCTGCATATTTCTGTGTTGTTTCTGTGTTTCTTGTGACTCCCAAGATAGATGGGCCTCTATTCTGATGCAGTGTTGTTTCTCTTAGGTTGCTGTGGAACATGAGTAGAAATAACATGCACACTCCTGAATCTCACTGTCGGCAGACAATATATAGTAGCATTTCCTGCCAATAATGGAATGGAATAGGGTAACAGTTCTTCCCAGTTCTTATTTTTTATCTCTCTTTTAAATCCTAGATGATTCACAGTTGCACCGAAAGTTTACTTGGGAACATAGCACAGGGCCACTATTCCCCCACTCTCAATTGCAAGAAACTAGAGTGCCTCAGCAGAAACACAAACTTGGAATGAAAATCCCATTCCATCAAGTATTATCAATTATGTACATGTGGAGAACATTCCACATTTATTCCTGAATTGCTCTAGTAGCACATTTATCTTGAGTACACTTTCAAACACAGTAATTATTTTCCCAGAAATGGCAATAGTTGTTGAAGTTAAAACAGAAGTCAGTCCTTATCCAGACTTCATCCTCAGCCTCACAGTCACATTAAAGAAATTACTTAGGACATTATAATTCTTATGATGAGAGTGACATCATATTTGTATTACTGGCATATAATCATGTGATTCTAGACACCATGAAAAATCTTTAATTCTGGACTAGATGCAGTATTTTATTTATAAATTTAAGTAGAATTTTCAATCAGTGCCTTTTTATTTCACTTATTTTTCCTTTTTATATGACACAAAAGGGAACCAGACAAAATCTACTCTTTACTGAAGTAGTAGCTGAAGAAAGAAGTTAACATTTCTGATTACATCTGCTCAAAGCTACAACTACTTCATTTAAAAATATCATTTAAAAATAAAACAGTATCAAAAAAAGAAAAAGAAAAAAGAAAAAAGACCATTAAATATAACAATGTATTTAGTCTTTCTTTTTGCAATTGCTCCATGCTCAGCAATGCACAACATTCAGACTAATTTGAATATAATTGAAGCTTTCTCTTTTCAGTGCTTGTGTGCTGAAATTCTGAGTCTCTGGAGGTGAGCAGATACCTTGTGCCAACCTCTTTATGATTCTGACATACTGAGAAGTAAGCTTAATGCAAATAAAATGGCTTTCACCTCCCAGCATTTGAAAGGCATACAGGAATGTAACCTAGAGACACTTGCTTCTCAGATCTGTGCTCAGAAAGAATAGAAAACATTTAAATTCATAACAAACTATTTGTGACAATCTTAAACAGTGTCTCATTTCAGAAAGTGCAGGCCTGAGTGCAAGGAAAACCATTTGTAACTGTCAATTAAAATAATCTACTGTAGACTTTTCTGGACGTTTTTTCTGCAAAACTACTCTTTTTTTTTCATTTCCTTATATATTTTATGGCTCAGAACAACTGAATCTGTAGCTAACATATATTACACAGCTCATGGGATAAAAAATGATGGAGGAGGAACTATCATCCTGGATCACCTCTCAGCCTTTCGTATTCATGTCTGATGTAAGCTAATATAACTTCACAACAAAATGAATTCTCAAACCAGTGTAAAGTGACTTCATATTAGAAATAGGGTATACACCATCCTCCATTTGGGAAATCTAAAACACTGTGTCTTAGCTGCATTCAGAAATGAAAACCAGTGAGTTTCTATCAGTTTACTTAGATTGGAAGAAAATAGAGTGATGGCAGATTATCCAAGGTAAGTAGAAACAGATGGAAAATCCTGCTTACCCGAGCACAGTGTGCACTACACGCTGGCTGGCTACACTCTTGGGTTTACAGGATTTAAATCAGACCAGAATTTGGCCCTCCTCATATTCAACGTGCAGTTCTGGGAAAGTGTTCAAAAGAATTTAGTTGGTAATCATGAAGGCTCTGTCATTTTGCAAGATGTAAGTTGCAGGCTGAAAAAAATATATATTGTTAAGCAGCAAAATTGCAGTGTTATTTCTTGTTGAATTTGGAGTTATGCTAGAAGCTATAGAAAATATTCAGCTATAGTGCTGTGTATATTTACTGAATATGGAATAAACCACTGTGACAGCAGCTCTTGATCCTGCAAAGTTATCTTCCATAGGTACTGAGCTACAGGCAGATACATCTAGTATCAAATATGTTTCAATGTCTTCTATTTTATTGCTTCTATGTAGTAAGCAATTTTGCTGACTGAATGTCTACATGGTTATTTTAAAATGTAGAAAACTAAAGAGTATTTTAAATGCAGTTTATCAACATTAAAGTGCTTAGTTATGGTTAAAACACTTCAGATACTTGTGCTGCAGTGACCCAAGCTCTGCTTGGACTCGGAGTCCTACAGCAAAGAAAGAAAGTTTGGCCATGGAATTGTACTGCCACACTGGAGAAATCAGTGTGTGCCTTTTGAGCAAATCATGAACTTGCCTTGAACAGAACTACTTCTGAGAGCTATCCTAGAGCATGCTGCAACTGCTTCTCTGATCTGAAATCTCAGCTGTATTTCCTTCTTCCAGGTATTCCTTTCAAGATGAAGAAGACATGTTCATGGTGGTTGATCTCTTGCTTGGAGGAGACCTGAGGTACCATTTGCAGCAGAATGTTCACTTTAATGAAGGAACCGTCAAACTGTACATCTGTGAGCTGGCACTTTCCCTGGATTATTTGCAGAGATACCACATCATTCACAGGTGAGAGAATTTCATTTCAGGGACGGGTTGTTTTCTGTTTGCAAACCGAAGGAATTTTATCACGTATCAGATTACATCTAAATACATCACCTAACATCCTTCTGGCTGCTTTTAATTTCATTTTGATTCTCTGGATCCTCAGTTCTCCTGAACACAAAAAAGTTGTAAATTCAGGGCAACACCTTCAGACAACAATGTGAGGGAAAGGTCAGAACATCAAGTGCTAGGAATTAGTGACTTTTTTTGCTTGCAGAATCTGCACTAGGTTGATGAGGGGTAGGAAAGGTGGAGAAATAAGAGAAATAGTAGAAATGAATTGGATCAGGAATAGGTGTTGTGTCCTTTTTGCATTTCTTTAATTACAACAACCTATAATTTTTATTGCTTAATGGATGGCAATCATAATATTTATGTCAGAAAGTGTGTCATGTATTGAGGCCTGTTTGTTTTCTATCTGTTCACATGAGACAGTGAGGTAAATTCTTTTCTGTATTAGTGTAGCAACTGTGAAGTTTTGTTTGGCTCAATCCTCTATTTCATCCTTTTATGCTAAATTCAGGATATTTCTCCTTGGTTTGCACTGGCTTAAACAGAAAAATTGTTTTATTGCATTGCCAAAGCTGGATGTGAGATTCAGAGAGCAAGCGGAACTGAACTGTGCCATAGATCTTTTAGTGACAAGTACAGATTTCTTCAAATGCTTTAATTGATATTCTTCATCCTATCTGCTCACCAGAGCTGCCTCATGATTTTGTAATAAAGTGATAATAAAAAGTGTGATCTGACTATTGAAGAGGGAGTGTCAGTACAAATTTCTCAGACCTGAGGTACAGTGGTAGATGTGTCCTCTGTAAACAAAACTGTACAAAACAAAATCCAAGAGAGCATTGCAACAATTTTTTTTGCTTGAAATAAAAAACATACAAATGTTGCAAGCATTATTGTGCATTTCTATGTATTCTGTATACAGGTTTCTTTACCACTGAATAATTTAAAAGTTAGGCTTGGAATTTCAGTTGACCTTTGTTTCTATGACTTGAAGAATGTTCTTGGTGAAAAACAAATTGATGAGCACTTTTCTCACCTTCATTTTAATGAGACAGTTTATGTAGATAGGCAAAGAATTTGTAATTAAAACTTGTATTTTATTACAAGCCTGGGACTTAAATATGTTTCACAGAATGGTCTTTGAAAGTTGGTGGATGTCTTGAGGGAATGAGGGGTTAAATTTAAATCAATGTATCTGTAGTTTTTTTCTTACATGACATGCATTGCCATGATTCAACTGAGGAATTGGGCAAGACTGTTCTGTTCTTTTCTGCATTAATTTATCATGGCTGGTAAACAATTTTACTGAATTTCCTGTTTTGCACTCATTGTAGTGCAGTGTAACATCACTGACTTTAAAACCAGCTGTTGATTTGCGCCCAGGAAGGCAGGAGGAGTGGGGATCCTAGCTGGAACTGTTTGTGGGCATTTGGTGTCAATTTCCAAAGATGAGGTTTTGCTTTCACTTTATGTTGGCAATTTTTACAACATGAGACACATTAAAATAACTGGTTTATATGCTTTGGTGGTTCTCACTGGCTATTTTGTTAGGACTGTTTAGGATGTGAAGGATCTGACTCTCCCATCCCACTGTGCTACTGGGGAGAAACTGAGACCTGAATATGGCACTTGCACTTCACTGCTTTCTGCCCATACCACCCAACTATGGTATAAGGAGCATTTTGGCTCTCACCTTCCCACCATGTCCCAGAACACCTCAGATGATCCATGTATCAGTGAAGGAATTATTACCTCAGGAATATCCATCACGTGCCACTGTCCCCCTGCCTTCAGCTATGGCAGGTCTTCAGCTGCTACAGACCACTCCAACAGGACTGGCACCTCTGATTTCAGTTGGCTAAGGAGCTGAGCAAACAATATTGCCATATGGAAACATGTTGATGTTGCTTTACTGCTGCAAACACCCAAACTCAATCACAGATTAAACCAATGAGCTCGCTGGCATTTATACTCAGTGGAAGCAGACCTCAGCATTGTCAGTATGACAAAGTCCTTCTAGTCAGCATTCAGGAGTTAACCTATGAAACTGTATTGGATCTTTCACTTTTAAATGAGCATGTTAGTAGCAAGAACAACAACAAAAAAAAAGCGAGTCACAGAGTCACTGAGAGAGCCCACTACTAAATTTTGTCTGTGCTACAAAAAGTGGTTGAATGATTCATCAGACTGGGTAGGTGGATTTTCAAATCATGACATTACAAAGAGCTGAATATATGATGTGTGAGTCAGGAACTAAACTTCTCAATATTTACAGATGTGTGTGAAATGTGTACAAGTTTCCATTACTATTGTATCCAGAAAAGTGACAGAAGGTATTTTTAAGGATTAGCCTGCAGCCCTAGGAATTTACTAGAAAAGGAGGTGAAAGTGAGGGAGATAGGAGCTATAAGGCACGTGTGAATGGATGTATGAGTGTCTAGGTAGGTGCTATGCCAGTTCCCTTGAGAGTCAACATGCAATGCCTCTGCACTAGCTGAGGCAGTTTGTTACGTGTATTTTGAATGTGGCAATTATTTCAGGAATACAAGTATTGTTTCTGCAGAGATAACTTTAAACATTAATTGTGCAAAAGCCATTATTCTTCAGTTTTTTTCAATGAAAATTGCAAATTAATTGCATATTTGTATATAAATCCATATTTGCCAAGTAAAATCCTGCAAACATGATTTTACTTGTTATGTCACAAAAGAAAATGCTGCATTGCGTGTCTCTCTTGCAGCTTTGTTGTAAATATTTGCAATTAAATAGATGTTCAACCAGAATTATAAGCACTTTAAAAAAAGAACGTGATAAGTTTCAAGTTATGATCTGAAGATTACTCTGGCAAATTTTTCACTTAACACTAAATTAATATTGAGATATCTCTATTAGATACTGGTAAAACTACATCACAAACTTATATTTCTCACAGCTTTGCTAGAATGATGTTTTTTCCACGTTTTTAAAATTTAAAACAAATCATTAAAAACCTGGATGAACAGCGTTTCTTATGGACCTTTGGATCCAGTGCACACAGAATGGCTTCTGACAGTTCACGTAGTCTCACTTGCTCTCAAATATTGGATCAAATCTGGCACTCTGCATGAGCTGACATCAAGTTTCAGGACTGTACATCTGAATGTATTCTTTCCCTTGCTGCCTGTATAATATCAGTGAATAATATATTGGACAGAAGTTTTCCCATCAAAGCCTGAATGAACTTATTTCAGACTTGAGTAACTCAGCCTCCTCCTTTCACAAATGTTTCTGTTCATAAATTTCAATAAAACCACCTGCTTCCTCACTGAAGTAAGCTGCACAATTTCATTCAGTTATTTCTTCCACCAGTGGCAGTTGTGTCTCCTAGGATGCTCTTGCAGCCAGAGCCTTAGCTCAGAGCAGCACAGCTCCTGCTGCCCAAGTAATGCACCCATACTGATCACATCAGGTTTTCTCTTTCCAAGTGGGCAAGTGTTAACTGCATTGCCCTTGCAACTCTACATCACTGCTTGTTTCCTTTAGTTTCATCTGGTCAGAAAGGAAGCTGGCTGTAGCAAGTGTCTGGAAAGGAAATTGCAGTAACTTTACATCATCATTTTGACATACTGGACTCTATGTTTGATCTGCATACCCAGTTTGTTGGTTTTTGTTATTTCAGTAATCTTTTAAAAATGTAAAATAATTTGTGTGTGCATACATAATGTAAGTATACAACTAAATCTTAGGTTGAAACACAGAATTGGTTCACGTAGTTCAGGCAGAAAATAATGGAACATGGTGACAAATGGAGGATTATGTGCCATTCTACCAAGCATCCTGCTGCAAAGTAAGGGAGTTTTGCTACTAAAGGCGAGGCCAGATGTACTGTCCTGTGCAACACTACTAGGCTGTGTTGTAGTGTAGGAATTTCATGTTCATCACCAGTGTGTCCTTCAAGGTGTCCAGTCTGGTGAAATAGGGTAATACATCCAAATGAATGATGAAATCCTCTATCTTTCATAGTGTAGTCTTTCACTCACAAGACTACTCTCCAGAAATAAAAACTCTAATTTTAAATGTTCCTTTCATAAACTGTCCATTTAGCATGTAAGAAGTAAATAAGCTTTCAAAATGATTTGAAAACAAAGACTTCTTGCTTTGTTGATTTTTGCAGATGTTACAGATAGAATGGTGTCAATCTGGGGCTTATCAGGACAAGTTTCTTACTAGGACATAGTTTCATACAAATTTCGGTTCATATTTCTAATCACTTTTATTAAGAAGAGTAGGCAATAGATTCTGAAGTAGACAAACTGGAAAAAAAAAACCAACAATCGTACTGTGACTATTATTCATACATACTCCAAAGGATCATGACGAGTCAAGAGGTCTGTTCACTGATTTTTTTTTCTTCTGTTTCCCCAAGTCTCTTCCATTTCTTTGTCTTATGTTCTTTAAACACGTGCAAGCCCACATTATTTTCAAGGACGAATTGCAGAAATTGCACTAGAAGTTATGTAAAGAGAAGCAAATTAGAAAGGATATCAAAACCAGCTAAAACAAATGCTATGCAAATACAAGGCACAGAAAATCTGCTGAATGCTTATGAGCTAGCACTGATCAAAAAGAAAGACGCTTACAAATTCTGTGCACAAAAGGTATTTGAATTTTACTTGAGTCATTAAAAAAAGAATTAGATATCACCAGATATGAATAAGCAAAGGACAAGCCTTTCAACTGTAGAATGGAGTTCTTTACCTATGAGAACAAATTACTGTTACAAGTTTGGCAAGAGTATAAGATAGATGATGGATAGATGAGACAGTATAATGCAAACAAATAAAGTTGATCTGAAAACACAGTGAGATTTCAATATCCATAGACTGGATGACTAATGAAGAATGCCTGTATATCAAAGAGCTGAGATGTGTGGTGCCCCACCAAGTGATCCAGTCCTGCCACTGGCACTGATA